ATACATGTACATTTTATATATGTTTTTTCCTGATTCTGAGAAGTAATTTACTCTGCCTCAAGTTACCTTTGCTGTAGATAATATGTGCCTAGATCTGTAGATAATATGTTCCTTATCAACATACATGAGGTACTGGGGGTTCACAAAAATAAATAAATAAATTAAATACTAATGAAACTGGTGGAACCCATTAAATTAAAAAGTAAAACAAAGCTCACATATTACCACTACAAAATTTCCACAAGTTCTGAAACTAATTGATTCGTTAAGGACAAATTCAGAAAGTTTGTCAATTTTCAACCATACCTGGCCTTGCAAATCTGGTCTGATAGGATATGTACTTGGGTATGGGGCCCTAGGTCGTGCAGGAGAATTCCAGTAGTTAGAACTGTAGCCAGGATATGGTGGCTGCTCCTATGAAAACAAGAAAAATTCACTTTCAATAACATTTTTACATCATTCTGAAATAAATTGGCAGAGGCAAGATATAGATATCAAAAAAGAAAACAGACAAAAAGCAATAGAATCCTACCATTATTAATCACTATTAAACTCATGAAGATACATTACATGATTAATTACATGCCCTGGAACAAAACAATTTTTGACTATCTGGTAAAAGACTGTTCTTATGCATTATGCCGATTTCACCAAAACAAATGAAGGAAATGAATGTCAATGAAGGAATTCTGCATCAAAATAATTAGTGGAGAGGGGTTGTGGCTCAGTGGTAGAGCACTGGCCTAGCACATGCAAGGTCCTGGGTTCAATCCTCAGCACCACATAAAAATAAATAAATAAAATAAAGGTGTACAAGAATTTTAAAAAAAGATAATTAGCAAAACCAGAGATATTATAATATAACATTTGTATTTATAATACATTTATAATGTATTTATAATATTTGCTTTTATTCCTCCTTAGTCACTACCCCTTATCACTAGAGGTGAACACCCCTAATTTAATAGTGTAAGAATGCTACTGAAAGTGAATTTTTCTTTTTTTCTTAGGAGCAGCCACCATATCCTTTCCACTATGGGTAGGCTTTCTGGTAACAACCTATAACCTCAACATCAGGAATTAATGTAGAACAAAATTCTACAACTAATATAGAACATGGAGTAAATCTAGCCATGACAATAAATCTCCTCAGCCTTTCCAACTCAAAAAGTTAATTCAATTATTTGCAACAATTCAATAAGCTGGGTTTTCTTTTTTTTTAAGATGGATACAATACCTTTATTTATTTGTTTGTTTATTTATTTATTGTGG